ATCCCAGCACTCAGGAGGCAGAGGCAAGGCTCTTAGTTACAGTGCCATCATGGACTAACTCTATGAAACTCTAAGCAAGCCCCAATTAAATGCTTTCTTTTTTAAAAGCCGGTCATGGCGTCCCTTCCGGGCAATAGAACAGTAACTAAGACACATGTGCATATCTTTTTTCATTTAGTCTTTAAACCTTGCTGTAAATAATATCCTTTCAGTTATATAGTAGAAAGACACAGAATGTTATACACAGCCACTGGAGACACCTCCTGAGCTGTACCCACGTCCTAGGTGTGTGCTACACTTTTACACTAAGCACCACCCCACCAAGCTTGGACCAGGGACATGGTTCAGCAGACAAAGATCCCTGCCACCAAGAATGGTAACCTGAGTCTGATATCTGGAACCCACAAGGTGGAAGAAGAAAACAAGCTCCAGTCAATTGTCCTCTGATCTCCGTATTTGGGCTGTGGCGCCTGGGCATCCCCACACATAGGCATGCCGGAGTACACACGTGGGCGCACGCACATACACAATAAACGCTAAAAGTAAAATAATAAAAAGTGCTTTTGCACAACCCTTTCCACTACCTGTCAGGCTTACTACATCTGCTTTGCCCTTTCTCGTCCTGGCATTCTTCTGTGCAGTGCCGTCTGAGATCCTGCAAAGGAAAGGCCTCCAGCAACCGACTGCTGAGGGCACCACCACACTCTGAGCACCTCCTCGGTTAACTTCCCTGCAAACACCCTAAGGAAAGATCGGGAGCTGTGTTGTCTAGGCGATTCTAATGCAGGAAGAAGGTGATGAACTATTACAGGACCTAGACCTGCCATTCTGTGTCAATCTCAAAAGCTCCATGAAAGAGGCCGGTTCTTTTCTTCCCTTATCTGTTGGTGTCAACTGCTCCCTGGCCTCTTTCCTTCTCAAACTGCCTTCTCTCTTAGGCCCCTTCTTCACTCCCCTCCCCGTTCCCAGGACTGATTCCTACAGCTGTCTGTGGTTTCTCAACACACACACACACTCACGCACGCACCGAATACTCCAAATACAGCACCAGCATGAAACTGAGTAGTTTCCCTCTTCCTGGGGACAAGCTATTATATGGTTTTCCCTGCACTTGTTAAGACTATGCCTCGTTTTGTTAACGCTTCACCATCTCATTCATTTAGCTCTTATTTATGAGACTGATTCAATCTATCAGTTCTACAAAACCCTCTGAAAGTTAAGCTGGGACAGACATCCCTTTCATCAACAGGCCACTGGCACCCTGCAGCTGGTAAACTGTTGAGGAACAGAGTTGAGGACAGATGGATCTACAGTGTGTTCTTGAGTCTTTCGGCTGTAAGCCAGGCTTTCACTTCAGCCTCGCGATCTGCCATCAGCCCCCACGACCCGTTCAGAGGTGTCAGACAGCGCAGGGAGGAAGAGAGGATGAAAGCTTGCCTAAGTTCATCGTCCAATTCGCTGCGGAGGGAGGCACGCTAATTCTTCACCAGGCCTAATAAGTTAACAAGCATCAGTTTATCTGCGGAGGTCCTGCTATCTTGTTTTTCTTATCTCAGCCAAGCGACGGTGGAGCGAACCTTTAATCCCAGCACTCGGGAGGCAGAGGCAGGCGGATCTCTGTGAGTTCGAGACCAGCCTGGTCTACAAGAGCTAGCTCCAGGACAGGCTCGAAAGCTACAGAGAAACCCTGTCTCGAAAAACAAAAACAGCCACAAAAAGAGTCTAAATCTCCAGACCTATACTTCGGCAACATCCCCGTGACATCATCCTCTGCAGGGCCACCGGAGAGGTACAATGACTGGATAGCTCTCCTTGCACATTACACACGCACACTCCACAAGCGAGAGCATTCACCCGGCGACCCCATCAACCGCGCCCCCGCTGCATCATCACTGCTCCCGGTGACCCAAGGTGCAGAACCGCGTACGGGGGCTGCGGCCGCGCGCGCCGCCTTTTAAAGCTCGCGGGTACCCGGGCCCGGCGGACCCCCTCGGGCTGGGGGAGGAGAGGGGAAGTAAGGGGAGAGGCGGGCCGACCCCCAGCGCGCACGCGCAGGCCGGCCTTTGTGCGGGCCGCGGCCCCCGGGCCGACCCCAGCCGCGAGCGTCCGCGTTACCTGCGCGCGCCCTCCGCGTCCATGGCGGCGCCGCTCAGGGTGCGGCCGCTCGTGCCGGGGCCCTCGGGCGCCCGCTCTGCCGCTCGGCGCGCGCGCGGAGGACTCACCACGCGATCGGGGGCGGCCGGCGGACGGATGCGGCGCTAACTCACCGGGCGCACTTCCGGCTCCCTCCGAAGAGGAGGCGGCGCGCCGTCATGTGACGCCGGCCGCCGCGTAGCCTTTCGGGAAACTGACGCTGGGCTGACGTCAGCTGTTGTGGGCGCTCAGTTTCCGGTCCGGCTTTGGGATGTGTGGGTGGACGTTTAGGCTTGGTGACAACTTCATGGCTTTCGACCCCAGATTTTGTGCTCTGCCTGTCATTTTCGGAAGGCCAAAGCAGGCCGATCTGAGTTCGAGGCCAGCCTGATTTACACCGTGAGTTCCAGGACAGCCAGGGCTACACAGAAACCCACTCTCAAAAAGCAAAAACAAAACACAATAAAAATAGTAATAATAATAATAAATTTAAACTGTAACTGTGATGGGGAGTGGGGGATTTTCTGTTTGGAAATGGAAAAGCTAAGAGTTGGAGGCTATTGCCTTTTGGGCCTCAGTTTATGAATCTGTAAAGTGAGGCTCTTTGTAGCTGGGCGAACACTAACCTTTTAAGTCCATGACGCTGCGTGCATCGCGGCTTCCCTCGATCTTATACACCAATCCCACTTTTACTTCTCAGCGGTTCTTGGTTTTAGAGACGATCTCACTGCACCCCTGCCTGACTTAGAACTTTGTGGCCGCAGTGCAGACTGGCCTCAACAACCTAAGTCAGTCTCTTGGGTTCTGACTGGGATTACAAGCGTGTGTCACCACAAGTGGCTTTGGGAGTTCTCGGAATGGGTTTTTGTTTCTTGACTTCTGTCACAGTTGTTAGCGCGAGACTCCCTTAGACAACTCTTCTAGTGAGAAGCTTTCCTGGTTTCTTCAGGTTACACGATGAGAAACATGGATATGTGAATTAGACTTGCCTAGTTTGTGTCACGACAGAGGTTCATGTGTCAATTTACAAAGACTTCTCCCTCCTGTGATACGTGAGCCCAGAGAGGGTCATGGGTTTGTGCTCCACGTCTTTCATTCTGGGATATTTTAACAAAAGCTGACAGGTAGTTAGTGGGGCCCATTCCTTTAATGCCAGCGCTCAGTGGGAGCAGAGGCAGGCGAATCTCTGAGATTGAGGTGTTCAAAGTGAGTTCCAGGATAGCCAGGGCTGTTACAGAAAAACCCTGCCTCATGAAAACCAAAAGGGGGGGGGGGAAGGAAGGGGAGAGAGAGAGAGAGAGAGAGAGAGAGAGAGAGAGCGAGCGAGCGCGCACCGGGAACCAAGCCAGAGACTTAAAAACACATAGAGACACAGAGAGACATGGACACGGGTCATCCTTGATATATAAGAATGCCAACTTTATGTGCTCAGGGGCAACTTATAGAGTGCTCTGGCCACGCCCCAGCTCTCGGGATCTTTCAGCTGCAGGCCTCGTCAGAACCCACTTCACCATCAGGGTCTCGTGCTCAGAGCAGCTGCAGGCAAGGGCTCATGCTCAGCTGTCAAAGTATTGATGTCCAGTAATCAAAAGCCCCCTTTGGTTCACCTAAGTAACATGCCCATTCAAAACACACCAACTCATCCTAACACTGGGTTTCCCCTTTTACATTTATAAACTTCCATTTGCCTATGGGTCATGTCTGTCTCCTCTCTATCTAGAGGTAATCCTTTGTAGTCGGTCTGTCCTCCTCCTGCCCCCAAAATAATCCTCCACTTTCTCTCCTGTTCCCTTCCCCTTTCTTCCTCATCTTCTATCTCCTGTCTTTGTTCTTATTCTCTGCCCAGTCCTTCTTGGGCAAAGAAATCTTGGTGCAGAGAACATGGTCTTGGGTGTCCTGATCAGATACAGGACCTTACAATTACCGTGAAAAAAAAAAAGTGTGCATGTGTGGGTGTGTGTAAGAGAACAATTCATGGAGTTGGCTCTCTGCTTCCACCGTGTAGGGACAGGGGAGCAAAATTGGGTTAGGTCACTCACTGAGCCATTTTCAGGGCCAAAGTTGTAAAAATGGTCTCACGATTCACGTTACACAATGCCACCTTAATTCTTCAGAATTAATTCTTGCAGTTTGCTTAACAAAAATGAATTCACAGAAGGATGGGAGGGAAAACTGTGGTTGTAATGTAAAACAAAGAAAAGAAGAAAAAGGAAAAAATGAATCCATACACCGAGCACAATCTTTAAAAAACTCATAGGTTGAGTTGCATAGATTGGAGGTCTCTTTTCCAGAAACACTGTCTCTCAAAGGCACCATGCTTGGGCGTGACTCTATGTAAAGTCCTAAAGACCTTCAAGACCAGGGAGAAAAAACCTTTGATCTTTCTCCAGAGCAGTGTTCTCAATCTTCCTAATGCTCTGACCCTTTAATATAATCTCTCACGTTGTGGTGAACCCAACCATACGATTATGTCATTGCTACTTCTTAACTGTAATTTTGCCACAATTATGAATTACAATGTAAATATGGTACCCCAGGTTGACCCAAGAGGTACCGACCCAAAAACGCGGCTCAAGAGCGTGACCTCTGGCAGGAGCACTATGGGTGCAGCAGCGAAATCTCTCCTCCTAACCCCGGGACGGGGACGGGGTCGTGCCGCTTCCTTTGTGCGAAAGGAGAAATGATGCCGTAAATACCACACCATGGCCAGGGAAGGCAAACGGCAGGATGGGGACAGTGACCACGAGCATTCTGCCTAAAAACGTGAAAGCGATCAAAACAAAAACCGAAAAATAAACTCAGCGCCTCACTTCCGGTAGAAGCACACGAATGCGCCTGCGCATGCATTGCCCTCGTTTTTCCGCTCCGGCGTGGTGCCGGTGCCTTTGCATTTTGGCTCCGGGGCTTGAGGGGACCTCGGGTCGCCCTGCGCACGAGCTCGCGTGGTCCGGGGCAGGAGCGGGAGGCAGTAGCTGCTCCCTGACAGGCCGAAGGGGTGAGGACACACCGGGCCCGCCCTCCACCAACTCAGCCGAGCGGGTGCAGCGCCGCTCGCCGGTCACCGAGGAGGGAGCCGCGCGGGTTGCACCCTGGGTGCTCCAACCATCGCCCAGTGTAGAAGCCACCCACCCACCCCTCTAACGCCGCGCCCTTTCCTTCCCTGCCAGCTCTCCACCATGCCCGGGGGCGTGCCCTGGTCCGTCTACGTGAAAATGCTCTCCTCCAGCCTCCTGGCCATGTGCGCCGGTGCCCAGGTGGTGCACTGGTACTACCGGCCTGACCTGGTGAGTGCTGCGGGGCTCGTGCCCATCCTGGGGCGACACCCAGCATTCCGTCCGTTCATTTGCTCGGCCCCCTCTTGACATGTAGAGCGTTCGGGGTGTTCGGTTAAACAGTGCTCTAACAGCTCGCTCTTAACACTTAAAGACTGTCTCTTTAAGAGTTAGAGTGAGCCAGCCTGGTCTACAGAGGGAGTTCTGAGACCGTTGGGGCTACAGAAAGAAACCCTGTCCTGGGTGGGGGAGGGATGATAGTGAATGTCAAGAAACTTAGCGGAGACAAAAAATGGCAAGAACTTGCCACAGAAATGCAGCTTTGTGTCTTCTGCAGGAATAGTTCCCAGCAGCTCCTTAACCAAGGAAATAATGCCTAGGCTTTGATCCTGTGAGGTTGACTTGATTCATCTCATTACTACCGGACATGTACAAGGGTTGTTACCGGCAGCTACCTGTACTCGGAGAAAGCAACACAAAAAGCAGTCTCAAAAAATGAGCGCACTAAGGATCCTAGGCCACGTCAGTCGGGTTGGGTGGTCACGTTGGCAATAGGGCATCTTTCCTGATAGACTTAAAGGCCCAGGTGACTGGCTGCTATAGGATGCTGTATGTTTTCCTAGTATTTAAGGAATTTGTGTCCTTTGCCCACCTAGTCTTTTGGAATTATTCCAGCCACTACTGTTATAAAAACTAAAAGATTTAGGGAGAGAGCAAAGGAGAGACCATGATGGCTGCCCAGGGTTGGCGCTCAGTGCAGACTTGCGGGGAAGAGTTAAGGATGCTTTTAGTTGCCCAGCATAAGGACAGCAGAAGTGACATCTGTCATCTTGCAGTTATTTAGACTGAAACCCCGGAGTCATCATAAGTCACTGCATGCCTCAACAAATCCCATTGGGGGAATATAAAAGATCCATCCACATCCTGCCCACCTCTCGAGCTGCCATTGTGCCTACCGTGTTCAGGCCACATCAGCTATCACCTTCCTCCGTTAAGATAGGAGCTTCCTGACCGTCTTCTGCCATCCACTCCTGGTCTCTCCATCAGCATCTTTTATCCTTGAGTCAGGTCAGGTCATTCTTCTCAGAACTCTCCCCAGAGTGGAGGCCAGCGGAGTCTTTATGTCGCCCTCCACTTCCCACAAGCCAGCCTTCTATCCTCTGGAATGCTGTATCTGATGTACGATGCTTTTCCTTGAACACCAAGGCACAGTCGTGGCTCAGGTCCTCTGCCTTTGTGATTCCATCAGCCTCCAAAACTCATAGACACCTGCAAGATGACTTCCTCATCTTCCTTCATACCTGTGTTCAGAAGTCATGAAAAGATGCTCGTTATCCTTAACCACCCGAAAAATGCAGTCAGAACCACCGGTGTGATGTCCGTCACCCGAAAAACGCAGTCAGAACCACCCGTGTGATGTCCATCATAAACAGTTGCCAAGGACGTGGAGAAATTGGGACCCTCATGCACTATCAGGGAGTTGGGAGCTGCTTTGAAATCCAGCCTGGCAGTTCCTCCAACAGCATATGTCCCAGCAATTCCCCTTCTAGGTTTCCACCCAACAAACACCAAGACATACAGATGTTTGACCTTGTTCATGTTCATAGGTGGGAACAATGCAGATACCTGTATAAAACATGATATATCTATATAAAGGAATATCAATTATTCAATGATTCTACATGAATGAATCTTGAAAACATGCAAAAGACTACATGATATACGATGGGCAAATATATGTGGACAGAAGTGGCTTGTGGGGGAACTGGGAATGAGAGAGGAGTCTCTTTTGGGGCAGTGAAGGTTCTAGAATTCTGTTGTGATAGAGCTTTGATCATACTGTAGTGAAAGCCACTTTTTTTTCTTTTGTGGTGCTGGGAATCAAACTCAGCGACACATGCTGCACCCATGCCTGTCTTTCTGCCTTCCTCAAAGGCAGAATTGTGTATGTTTTGCTCATTGCTTTATGCGTTTTACACGATGGCCACTCTTTTGAATACAGTAACTACCATTGTCATTTTCTGAGCTTGGAGCATGATAGAGAACAGCAAGTCGTGCAGGAATGAGTTTCCAAATGTTGAAATTCTCATTTGAAATTGTGAATCAATTGGATGTATCCTGTGAGTACTATAGGATTTAAGATACTGCCAGATGATTTAATCATAAACACACAGACAGCAAGAAATGTAGATCAGAAGGGGGTCTGTTGCTGAGTAGCCTGCACAAGGCATTTTGTTTTCTCACGCTTTTCAGATCACATTGAACTCTTGTGTCAGAATGTGGTAGCAACTGTCTTTTGGCTCTTGTTTTTATTTTTATAGACAATACCTGAGATCCCACCAAAGCCTGGAGAACTGAGAACGGAGCTCTTGGGACTGAAAGAGAGACACCACGAACCTCAGGTTTCACAGCAGTAGAAGCTTTAAAATACAACTCTGCCAAGAATTCTGTGAATAATACTTTACACTTATATTTTTAAATGTATTGAGTAAAACTACTTCTTAAATCATCTAATCCAAAAACAAATGCTGGTTGATAGGAACTGATAAGATAGATCTATTATGATTCGGTCAGTATTTTCTAGTCTCACCTGGAGCTCACTGTGCAGATCAGGCTGGCCTCAGGAGAGTCCTCCAGCCCCCACTTTCCAAATGGTGGAATTACAGGTATGAAGGACCGCACTCATAAGAGCTGCCTAAGCTTCAGCTTCGTGCATTTGGCCGGGAGGATGAGACTGAACATTTGCAGTGTCTCCTGCCAGTATTCTTTTTTCTCTGAATGAGCTTGGTTATAATGGCAAGTTGTAAATTAAGTAAAAGTCAGTGAGAATGCTTATAGGGTCTAAACATTGAGAAGTAGTATTTGTACTAAACTGTATAAAATATTCAAAGTTCTTTGGAATTGTGTGCCTAATGGAATTGCAACATTAGTAACAATTTGTCAAGGTGCTTAAATCCCCCAAATTTGAGAAAGTGAACTAAAATTGGCATTTTCTTTATACATATAAAAATGAAAGTGCAGAAAAAAAAAATGAAAGTGCAGTTGAACTGTGTCCCTAAAAAATGTTGACCTCAACCCTCGGTGTCTGGGATTGTAGGACTGGGGCCATGAGGGTAGGCCTGATGCGGTGACCATGAGAACAGACACAGGGAGGACATTGTGTAGACAGTCAGAGACCGGAGCGTTGGAACTGCCAGCCAAGAACACCAAATATTTGAAGGCTGCACCCGAAGCTTGGACGAGGAAAGGAAGGAGTCTATAATCTCAGAACTCACACCGCACTTCCAGCATTGGCCTTCAGAACCTGACACCACATCTCCTGCCGCCTGGATTTCTACCATCGGCTCTAGGAAATGAACTTGTTTAAAGATTTTGCTCAATCTATAAATATAGAAAAAGATAATTTATTCAACAACTGACCTATTTTTTAATGTATGAATGCATTGCTTGCATGTCTGTCTGTACCACGTGCATGCCTAGTTCCCTCAGAAGCCAGGAGGGGCATCAGATACCCTGAACTGCAGTTACATATGGTTGAGAGGCCATGTGGGCACCGAGGACTGAACCTGGTCCTCTGTTGAACTACCTCCCCTGCCATAAGTAAATTTTACACAAGTTGCATGAATGTATGAACATGTGAATTGCCCCTGGAGGGCCGGCATCAGATTACCTGGAATATGAGTTATAGATTAGTTTTGAGCCACCGGATGGGTTCTGGGACCTGAATGTCAGTCTTCTATAAGCAACAAGTTGTTTGTAGCCCCTTCTCCAGCCCCAGACAAGGTCTTTGTAAATCTACCCTAATGAGCAGACTAAGGCACTGAAGGGGAGTTTTCAGTTTGAGACAGTGTCTCATTATGTAACCTTGTCTGGTCCTGGAATTTAGTAAGTAGATTAGGCTGACCCTGAATTCAAAATCTGCTTGCCTTGCTTCCATGGGCACACATTCAGGCCAAGCAAACACTGACAGCAGTGTTTAAAGGTTTTGGCAGGGTCTATTTCTTCCCAGCACTGGCTGTCTTACTGGGCTCAGATACTCCTGTCTCGTGTACCACCATGCTCAGCTAATGTAAAATTACCATGGTATGCACACCTTTAATCCTAGCACTCAGGAGGCCAGCTGGAATGCCTGTGCGAGCATGCTCCAAACACTGGCGAGTGACTTAATTAGACTGTGGCCCTCACGATCCCCACCACCCATTTAACGGCCTAGGTTTCTAGGCAACTTCCCCTAACCTGTGAAGATTTCTCAATCTGAGTGTTCCTTCCTGAGTTTTCCCTTCCTGTCCGGATTCCAGAAGGCTGTTACACATTCTGATCTCTGGAGGGAATTACTTGCATGCATTCCACCTTGTTAAGTAAGAAAGACGATCTGAAAGCACAAGCCACCAAACCTGAACAAACCCAGCAGGCATGAAGAAGAAAAAGTATACAGAATTCCTGCTTTGTGTCATGAGAACAGCCAGTGGGTATTTGGGACCTTTTTTATTTTATACACATGACAAGATTTTACACCAATAGTCAGTTAAATAGTACAAATTTACATTCATGAGGAATGTTAAAAAAAAAAAACCAAAACAAAACAAATTCAACTAAAAAACCCACTTCTTCCTGTGACCCATAACCCCAACATTTTACAGTGCAGGGGAGAAGGGGCGTGGGGGAGCATCCCAAACAAGTCTCTGAAAAGAAATGACTAACATTTCACATTCCCTCTCAGCACAGGGCCCGTGGTGAGAGTGTAATTTACAGTTCATCCTTCTCTGCTGTAGAGTCCTGTGAAAACAAAAATCAGAAGACATTCACAGACTAGCCACTAACCCTTACAAGAAGGCTCACATTTAAACTGTTCATATTATTTTCTAGGTTTTTCTGAGATAAGGTTTCTCTGTAACTTTGGAGCATGTCCTGGAACTAGCTCAGGTAGACCAGGATGGCCTCGAATTCAGAGATCCGCCTGCCTCTGCCTCCCAAGTGCTGGATTAAAGGCGTCACCACCGCCCGGCTCATACTATTTAGTTTGTAATTGTTTACTGGCCAAATAATTTAAAACCCACCAATATCAATGTCTAAATCTAAATAATCAAAACCTAAAAATACCTAATGTTAGCCAGGCATGGTAGCGTACATCTTGAATCCTAGTACTTGGGAGGCAGCGACACAGGATTATAGAGTATCCTCTCTCAGCGCTCCCCACTCCCTGAATGTTTCCTCACAGGGGGCAGCGCTCTGTGTGTGTGATCCATCTGATCTTGTGAATGGTTGGATAAAATAAAGGAATAAAACCTTCCCCCAAGCTTGTGAGCTAGGTATCACATGCCCACTCTACATGGACTGACTCCAGTGTGACTAGCTATCAGAAGTCTATTTGCTAGCCTCAGTCCAATCCCACTCTCCCTCAGACCTTTGCTGTCTCCTGTTCTTCTTCCTCTTCCATGCCGGCATCCACCTCTTCCTCTTCGTCTTGCTCTGTGTCTTCTGCCGTGTCATCTGCTGCGTCTTCAGGCTCTTCCTCTGGCTCTTCTTCTACCTACAGGCGACATCCATGAACCTGTTAAATGCCTTCCATCCATTTTCACTTTGCTCTTCAGTTTAAGATTCTAATGGGAGTTTTAATAAGAACTGTAGTAAATTTTTGTTAACGGGGAAACTATCAGAAAGGAAAACACAGGGATGTTCTCCATTTCACATTACTTCAGGGGTTCAGGCATGGAGTAAGTTATTTCTTACAGTGAAAACTAAAGCTTCTCAAACAGTACCACTTAATTAAAACTTGCAGAAGAGCCACGGACACAAACCTGTGCTTCAGGGTCAATGTTGAGACTGAGGCGAAGCATTCTTTCTATTCTGTCTCCATATGCCTTGGTGTCTGGTAGAAGATACCCTGACCGAAGTGTTGCTGTTTCAAACAAAACTACAGCAAGGTCCAAGACAGTCTTGTCATCTTCATCTTCCTGAGGGAAGGCACGTTTGATCAACGTTAGTATTCTGAGTTATACTGCAGCCCAGTTTAGACAGGCAGGAGAGGGCACACCGCCACTCACCTTAACCCGCCGCAGCATGTCTTTGATGAGCGGGTGTCTGGGATTAATTTCAAACGTTTTCTTCTGACTGGCATAGTAACTGTTCAGAGACAAGATGAACAATGGTTAAGACACCAATTTTAGGGTCCACATGCCTAATGTATTCTAGCTTTAATTAAAGAAACACTATTGCTTCTAACAGGAGGAGTGGCCACGGTTAGGTTAAAAAAAAAATGAAATAAAAGGAACTATTTAATGATGACTCCCAAGTAACCAAGTTCAGCTGGGATAAGGAATTGGTTTAATGTCTTCTTCATTGAGTCATACGGTGATACCTTCACTGAGTCATACGGTGATGGGTGCTGCTAAAGGATATATGAGCCCCTAAAGATTCACTTTTTAAATTAAAAGAATTAAATTAAAAGTTTGCAGTGTGTTCTGTACATTCTCATGTTCATTAGCATTTTCCTGGTGACTTCAATGATTTCTGCAACTCCAAGGCCAGAGGATTGATCACACATCTGTCTGGTGGGTCATGATGCAAACGTGGACACCATCCCCGCCCCAGACAGGGCTTCTCTGTGTAGTCATGGCTGCCCTGGAGAGAACTCGCTCTGCAGACCAGCGCTGGGATTAAGACATACGTCACTATCATCTGACCTATAGATGTTATTCTTAACCCAAAGGGAAAATAAGGAAGGTAAGGATGACAGATGGAGCAGATCAGAAAAATGTACATTTGCACAAAGAAGGACAAGAGCTGGCACCATGGTAGGGACATTCCCCAGGCACTTACTTTGTAGAGATGTCCTTGCCTGTCTGGTATGCTTGTGCCTTCATAATCCTCTCCATGTTGCCAGACCATCCATACTGGCTGGCCACAAGAGCACAGGGGGACTCTGTGAGACGCTGCGATACCACGGCCTTTTCAATCTTAGAATAGAAACGTTAGACCCGAGTGAGCATCAGCAGGCAGGCAATGCACCCACCACCCCAGATGATAGACAGGCACTCAGATCAGGAATGACACTTGAGTGACACTGACTTAAGCTGTTGTTTTTGTTTTGTTTTCAGCTTCAGATTTAAACTTAAACCTGTAAAAACTTAAGGCAAAATCAGTAAAATCAGTACTGAAGAATAAGAAACTTCTCTAAGTTGCAAGCTCATTCCAGCCTGTACTAAATCTGACTCTACTGCTGCTGTGCGGGGCTAGGGCCCGAACCCCGGGTCTTCGGCATAGCAGATGAAGGGGTCACTGAGCTGCAATGAGTTTCCTGTTGGTACCCGAGTACCCGAGGCTACAAGCACCACTCTACAACCTCTAGCGGTCACCAAGGCAGCAGGTGTAGACAAGTTTGTAGATAACTCTTGAGTGTAGATGCTGGAGTCTGACCTCTGCACAGTACCTTGTCCTTAAGGGCCTTGTCTTTCATCCAGTTGAGCAGAGGCTCGTATTCCTTCTCTGTTGCCTCCCGGTTTTCCTTGGTTTTCTCACTCTCATCAAACTTCACGCCTTCTTTGGCCACGTTCTGGAACCTCTTCCCGTCAAACTCGGGAAGGGCCTGAATGCAGTACTCATCCACAGGCTCCGTGAGGTAAATAACTTCATAGCCCTTCTTCAGAAGTCTCTCAACAAATGGGGAAGATTCAGCCTATAAAATTCAAGGAAGCGTGTTTTTAGAGTTCTGCCTTGGCATATTAGCTGCATGCGTCTCTACAGCATTAACTACCGTGTAAAACAAGGACTTGAGGTGAGTGTCCTTCCTTTAGTGGCCATGAAAAGCTAAACAATGAACCTCTTCCCCCAAGCAATGACTGCCCAGCAGCGGCATCTCATCTCACCTCTTTCCTGCTTGACCCAGCCATGAAGTAGATTTTGTCCTGTTTTTCCTTCATTCTCTCTACGTACTGATCTAAACTAGTAATGTCAGTTGCGTGGTGAGAAGACTGGAACCTAAGAAGTTTAGCGAGCCTTGTCCGATTTGAGTGGTCTTCAATCACACCAAGCTTGATGTTGGTGCCGAACTCTTTCCAGAAGGTGTCATTGTACTTCTCATCTGCAATCTTCTTGATCATGTCCAGAGTCTTACGGACAAGCTTCTTCCTTATCACCTACAAAAAAATGGCAATCTGGTCAGGAGATCCTCGCAAACCTCTGTAGAGACCAGGAGGGCAGAAACCGAGACAGCAGAACCATGGCCACTGAATGAGGGACAGGCGGCACATGGCACTCCTCCAGAGGGAGTTAGGATTAGTGTTTCTAGTGCTCACCCCACCTAGTCTTCTCCTTACTGCGATGCTGGTGTCTTCCAGGTGACCATGACAACACCTAACTTGTTCAGACAGCAGGTGTGGATGTGTGCCTTTCAGTTCTGTTGTATTCAGTGTCGGGGACGTGTCAGCTGTGAGCCCCAACAACCCCAAAGTGAAAGAAAGAAGTTCCTTTTGTGAGATGGAACTTCATGTTAAGGTAGATGGCCTAACACTGTTAATGACTAGCATGACCTCATGACCTCCCTGCTTTTCCCTTCAAGCTGCTGAGATTACAGGCGGCACTGTCAGACCTGCCGAGTCCTTCTGGATGCTCAAAGACCACCTAAGCACAGAGTCAGGTTGTTTTCCTCACAGAACATCCTTGTACTCCGACTACAGGGCAAGGAACCCAGCTCCAAGTCCTCACCTTGAGTAGTTTATGCTGCTGAAGAGTCTCACGGGAAACATTGAGGGGGAGATCATCCGAATCCACCTATGGAGAGCAAGATGCCCACTGAGTAACCAAACAAAAGACCCAACCCTGCTAGACTCCCGCCGCTCTATGCCCACGCACCCAATCTTCAGATACTTACAACACCTTTGACGAAGTTCAGGTACTTGGGCATCATATCGTGAAAGTCATCTGTGATGAACACTCGGCGCACGTACAGCTGATGGGGACAGAGCAGAGTCACCTTTTGGACATCATGCTTTTAAATCTTAAACTTAGTTGACCATACTTAAAAGCCCACTGACCTTAATATAATCGCTCTTCTTGGATCCATATTCATCAAACAGACCACGAGGAGCAGATGTGGGCACAAATAAGATTGATTTGAAGGTGACCTCCCCTTCTGCAGTGAAGTGGATATAAGCCATGGGGTCATCACTTTCCTGTGGAAAGTCCTTTGGTTATTCACGTCATAGGAGGCAGCCGCACAAAGGCTTGCGCTGTATCACCCCCACAGCATTTAGCAGAGACGGCCCCTCGCCAAACCAAACCAAAGTGTGGAGGTGGCCCCGAGAGAATGGCTAATGCTGACTCCATAAGGGTTTTTTGGATGAGGACTGCTAATAACACTACTGATGACAGTGACACCAAAGCAGACATTACATTTCATTTCTTCAACACAGGGACCAGAAGCAATACAACTAATTCTACTTTTATATTCTTAGGAGCCAAAATACTGTGTCAGTAAAGACCCCAGAGAAACAGATTCAGTGTCACACAGCACTGTGACGTCTGACTGAAGGGGACTCTTTCAAGGTCATAGTACAGCCATTCAGTAACTCAGGTCCTGTTTTATGCTGGAACCCAAATGCCTACCTATGTAAATGGCTTTTAATGTTTCTGTA